GAGGGGGGGGGGGGGGCTGACCAAAAAAAAACTTACCTATACGACCACCCTTCGGGTGATAAGGAGGTTCGGGGGGGGGGGGAGGAACCAACGTCTCACTCGATCGGTCTCACTACCGATCTCACTATCGATCTCACTATCGGCCTCGCTTGATCGATCTCACTCGATCGATCTCAAAATCGATCTCGCTCGATCAATTTCATTCAATCGATCTCACAATCGATCTCACGATCGATCTCACTATCGATCTCGCTCTCGAAATCACTATCGATCTCACAATCGATCTCACATCCGGTGCCACTATCGATCTCACTACCGATATCACAATCGATCTCACAATCAACGTCATCATCATCATCAACATCATCGTCATCATCCACGTCATCAACATCATCATCATCATCATCATCATCATCACCATCATCATCATCGGGACACCATCATCATCATCACCTCATCACCATCATCATCAACATCATCATCACCATCATCATCATCGGGACACCATCATCGTCACCATCATCATCATCAACACCATCACCATGATGACACCATCATCATCATCATCATCATCATCATCGGAACACCACCATCATCACCAGCATCTCACCATCATGGACAACATCATCAACATCATCACCATCATCGGGACACCACCATCATCAGCAACATCATCATCATCAACATCATCATCATCATCATCATCATCATCATCATCATCATCATCATCATCGGGACACCATCATCATCATCGTCACCATCATCATCACCATCATCATCATCATCAGGACACCATCATCATCGTCATCATCATCAACACCAGCAAAATCATCACCATCAACGGGCCACCATCATCAAATTATCATTGTCAACTCATCATCATCCTCATCATCATCATCATCACCATCATCATCGGGACACCATCATCGTCGTCATCATCCTCATCATCATCATCATCATCATCATCATCATCATCATCATCGGGACACCATGATCATCACCACAATCATCATCAACAGCATCATCATCAACCTCATCATCATCATCATCGGGACACTATCATCATCATCTTCATCAGCAGCATTATCTCATCATCATCTCATCATCATCAATCTTATCATGATCATAAATATCATCATCATCACCATCATCAACGGGACACCATCATCATCATCAGCAACATCATCATCAACACCATTATCATCGGGACACCATCATCATCATCACCACCATCACCATCACAATCATCATCAACATCATCATCATCATCATCATCATCATCATCGGGACACCATCATCATCACCACCATCACCATCATCATCATCATCATCATCATCATCATCATCACCTTCATCTTCATCATCCACATCATCGACACCATCATCATCATCATCATCATCATCATCATCATCATCATCATCATCATCATCATCATCATCATCATCATCATCATCATCATCATCATCATCGGGACACCGACGGGACGCCCGCGGGACACCGGCGGGACACCGCGCGGCCCCGCTTGCCAGAAGGGAGTCATTTGGTCCGGCCGCGCCTCAGCCACAGCGGGACACCGCGGGGACACCGCGCGGCACCGGTTGCCGGAAGGGAGTCATTTGGTCCGGCCTCGCCTCAGCCTCAGGGGACTTTCCTCTCGCCCGCCCACGCAGCTTCGCCTCGCCCGCACGCACGGCACGCACGAACACGAAACCGAAACCGATTTCCCGGTAGGGGAGCTCACCGTTCCACTTCGATCTCACCCCCTCACCTCCGATTTGATCAATGGTCTCCAAGATGGCTTCAAGAGGGCCCCAAGGGAGCCGCCAAGAGGGCCCCAAGAGAGACCCAGCGCCCCAAGAGGGCACCAAGAGCGCCCCAAGAGGGCACCAAGACAGCCCCAAGAGGGCACCAAAGAGGCTTCCAAAATGTCCCCAAGAGGGCCCTACGATGGCCCCTAGCAGGCCTACAACACGCTCCCAGAGCGAACGATCGCAAAAATCTTGGCATTGACTCCTGTCGTCGTCGTCTTGGTGCTCGTCTTCTTTGTCGGCATTCCCTTCGCCCTCCCGTGCTCAAGCAGGGAACGTAAACCGGCAACTCTCGATAACGGGTGCACGTCACAAGGATTACTAGTTTGGGATGGGCTGGTGGGGATGTGCGAAACAATTGAACGAGTCATGGGTCGTATGTGTGGTGGGTGTGTGCTCAGTGACTAAGATGTTGGTGATGAGTGTGGTGACGAGCATGATGACGAAAATGGTCATGATCGTCAACCGGATAATAGGGGTAAATGATGTTTTGTGTACGAGATGAAAAGAGCGTCGGGTGTACGAATGCAGTGCCTGGTGGTGAAGACGAAGATGTGCAGGGCGACGGTCGTGGAGAGGAAGGTGGTGAGAAGAGGCATGATGAGGAAGCTGATGCGAAGCCTGGCGGTGAGGAAGATAGTGCATGAGGGATTCCATGTAGGATGGGTCGTGTGCGGTAAGTGTGCGAGTGGTGATCACGAAGATGATGGGGTGGATGGTGAGGGTGGTGGTGATGGAAGTGGTCATGGTGGTGAAGAGGATGATGAGGAGAATGCTGGTGTGCGTCCGAGCGTCGGTGGCAGGGCTGAACCTCATCGGTGTTTTTCGTTTTCGTACTGTTTTCGTGTTCCCTCGCTTTTGTCTCGAATCCGCCTTTACCGCAAAACGAAGTCGAAACGAAAACGGCCCACGAAATCGCCAAAAACACCGTTTAGGTCCAGCCCTGGGGTGGATGGCGAGGGTGGTGGTGATGAAAGTGGTCCTGGTGGTGAAGGGATCATGAGGAGAATGCTGTTGTGCGTCCGAGTGTCGGTGGGGTTCGAGTGCGCTCGAGTTAGAAATTCGCCTCGATCGGGTGCACGGCTGAGGGCAAGTAAATTCGCTCGGGTGTGAGTGTCGATCGACTCGGGCGTAATTTCGCTCGGGTTTTAGTTCGCTCAGATTAAATTCGCTCGGGCTTAAATTTGCTCGGGCTTAGATTCGCTCGAGCTCAAACTCGCTCGAATTGAAATTCGCTCGGGTTTAAATTTGCTCGGGCTCAAATTCGCTCGGGTTTAAAATTCGCTCGGGTTTTAATTCGCTCGCGTTGGCTCGTTCGAACATAACTTCGCTCGAAATTCAACTCGCTCGGTTTTTAATTCTTTTGAACTTAAATGAGTTCGGGTCCAAATTCGCTCGGGTTTGAATTCGCTCGGTTGCAACGCGCTCGAACAGACGGCCGCGCGGGGGGCAATCCGCTCAAGGACAGTTACGCAACCAGAGTGAAAACCAAGCGAAATGAAACCGAACGACCAAAAAAAGCGAGCGAAATGAAACCGGGCGAAAAATAATTCGATCGACAAAAAAAGCAAGCGAAAAGAAAGCGAGCGAAACAACACGCCACCTTCCAAGAGGCACCCAAAGAGGCACCCGAGAGGACCCCGAGAGGGGCCCCCGAGAGGCCTCCTCTTCCTCCTACTCCTCTGGCCCAAGCGTGCATTTTCGAACGTTGGAGCACCATCGCAATCGGAGAAGTTTTCTAGAAGAAGAAAGGGAAGAAGAAACGCCATAAAACATAAACTTCTGGCGCTGCGCGCGGATTTCTTGGATCTGCGCTGGATCCCCCTCCCTGGCGCGCGGAGCGCGCCAGGGGCGGCGCCAGAGGCGCCGCCAGGGGGCCCAGCGCAGATCCAAGAAATCCGCGCGGAGCGCCAAAAGTTCGTTCATGGCGTTTTTTTCTGCTTCGATTCTCGTCGTGCACGGCGAGTGTCGCAGCAGGCGCGGGCGTTCCCTCCACGGGCGTTCCCAGAAACAGGCGGGGAGGATCTCTTGCACATCGACCGCCGCCCCCCGAGCAGGGCCCCCCCCGAGCCAGTCAGAATGCACCCGGAGGGCCCTCCAAGGGGCCCTGGAGAGGCCTCCCAGGAGCAGGACCTGGACCTGCCCGTTTTTTGTCGTGATGTTCTCGTTTTGTTCCTCGTATTACTCCACAAAGCCCTGTACGAAACCTTTTTGTTGTTCTTCGTTTTACTCTACCTCTGTGATTCGTTTTACTCTTCGGTTTCGTATTGTTGGTTCTGTTCTCCTGCACCTCCCTGCAAGGCGAAACATCAGCCTGGCGAGAAACCCAGCCATCGACAGTTGTGGGCACCGTCGTTGTATGCACCGCATTCGGTGGAGCTCCCTATGAGGCTACCAAACGTGTGAGGGGCGTGCCAAAATGGGCGCGGTGGGTGCATGCGAACGCTGGCATGTGGGCCTTCGGTGGGGCTCCCTATGAGGCCACGAAGCGTGTGAGGGGCGTGCCAAAATGGGTGGGGTGGGCGCATGCGAACGCTGGCATTTGCGCTTTCGGTGGGGCTCCCTGTGGGGCCACGAGACGTGTGAGGGATGTGCCAAAATGGGTGCGGTGGGCACATGCGAACGCTGGCATTTGGGCCTCCGGTGGGGCTCCCTGTGGGGCCACGAAACGTGTGATGGATGTGCCAAAATGAATGCGGTGAACGCATGCGAACGCTGACACGTGGGCCTTCGGTGGGGCTCCCTATGAGGCCACGAGACGTGTGAGGGGTGTACTGAAACGAGTGATGATGATGATGATGATGATGATGATGATGATGATGATGATGATGATGATGATGATGATGATAATGATGATGATGATGATGGTGATGATGATAATGATGATGATAATGATAATGATAATGATGATGATGATGATGATGATGATGATGATGATGATGATGATGATGATGATGATGATGATGATGATGATGATGCTGATGCTGATGCTGCTGATGCTGCTGATGATGATGGTGATGATGATGAGAGGAGGAGGGGGCAGCGGGAGGAGGAGTGAACGAGGGGACCGTCTCCTCAAAACGAGGGCCCAACACCACAGGATGGTTGGGAAAAGGAGAGCTCAGGGGACCGAGAGCGCGAAGAACGCGTACGAACGTGTCCCGGCAGCGTGAAACAAGTACAAGCTCTGCTTTTTGTCGATGACGATCTTTGGCCGACGGCAACGCAGCTGAACAGTCGGTGCCGATCTACCCAGAGCCGTCAGGGGGCGCGCGCAGGGGCGTGCAGCGCAAGTGGGGGAATGTGGCGATGTGAAAGAACCGCAGCGCGAACAAGTGAAGGCTCCGTGCAGCGTCAACAGCGGATCTAGGCCGAACAGGGCTGCAGATAGGCTCCACTCACATCCTCCACCAGCCATTCGCCTTGAGGGCGCACCTTGATACAGGGAGGTGCCGCCCGGGTGCGATGCGGCTGCAGCTGCCATGCGGGCACGGATGATTCGAGGTGCGATTGAGTGGCTCCTCCGCCTTCTCCACCTCTCTTGCTGTACCCCCCCCCCGCAGGCGCGGATGCGTGGCCACGCGCATGTGTGCGCGAACTGTTTTGGCCGCTCCGCTTAAAAAAGGCCGTGCATGCCTATGAATTCACGCGAGGCGTGGACAGCGGACGAACGGCCAATTGTCGACAGCGAGCGAGGGGAGGAAGTGAGAAGGAGATGACATTCTCAGAAGGCGGCGTGGCTTCTCAGAAGCCCTCGCGCCTTCCGAGAAGTCTTCCGTCTGTCTTCGGGGAGTGGCTAAGAAAACTTGTCCAAAGGCCGAGGGACTTCCGAGCCTTCTGAGAACGCCTTCTCTCGGGGGTGGACAAACCTCCCTTTGGTAAACCTCCCTTTAGTGAAAACGGCCTGGGACCGAAACCGACGGACCCGGACCCGCAAAATGACGGCCGCACGCCCTTTCGCGAGCCGAAAACGGCCCATTCGCTAATCGACGTGTCAGGGTAGGAGGCCTGTCCTGTCCACCCCCGATTCTCCTTCTCACTAACCCCCTGGGCGCGCCGCTGAAATCGTGGACAGCCCAAGTGCAGTCCCGTTGCCCCTACATACTCGGAGGCGGAGGAGGAGGAGGAGGAGGAGGAGGAGGAGGAGGATGAGGAGGAGGAGAGAGGAGGAGGAGGAGGAGGAGGAGGAGGAGGAGGATGAGGGAGGGAGGGAGGGGAGGAGGGGGGAGGGAGGAGGAGGGGGAGGGCGGGGCCCCCTTCCCTCTTTCGGGCGTCGCGCCCCCCTCGCCACGCTCCCCCGCCGCGCCCCCCCGCTCCTCCTTCCTCCTCCTCCTCCTCCTTCCCCTCCTCCTCCTCCTCCTCCTCCTCCCCTCCTCCTCCCCCTCCTCCTCTCCCCCTCCTCCCCTCCTCCCCCTCCTCCCCCTCCTCCCCCCTCCTCCCCCTCCTCTCCCTCCTCTCCCTCCTCCCCCTCTCCCCCTCCTCTCCCTCCTCTCCCTCCTCTCCCTCCTCTCCCTCCTCTCCCTCCTCTCCCGCCGTCCCCACGCGCACGGGTGAGAGCATCGGCGAGCTCACAGCCTGGCGCTGTGCAAGCGAGGTGGCCCGGATGAGAGGACCAGCGCGCGACTTCAGCATACAGTCAACCCGTATAAGAAGGATGCGCGGTGAGGATGCAAGGGCCTTGGAGGGTCAGGTGAACGATTTTCGAACGAGGCTGGCCAGCGAAAGTCGCCAAGGACGGGCCGAAGGGGGAAGGATGCCGGGGCACCCTTGGAATGTCGTTCATCCTTACTGTGCGGGTCGACTGTAGCTCTGTTGCTTGTTGGTTCTCTGCCACCTGCCCGCGCCCGCTCTCGCTGTCCTGCATGCCCGTCGGCGGCAATCCCGCCAGCCCTCCAGGCGACGGGCGGTCTAAGGAGGGCCTCTTTCCTCTTCCACGGCCCCTCTTCCCTTCGGAGAGGGGGAACCCTCCCCCTCCTCTCCCTGGGGTTTTTTGGGGAGGGGGACAGATGTGTCAGAGGGTCTTTTGTCGGCCAGTGGGGGGGCCAATTTTTGACACCCCTCACGAGGATCGCGGCCCCCGAAAGGGGGGGGGCAGACATCGAGGACCCCCCCTTTTTTTGACCGATCGCCTCCAAGAACGAGGCCCTCCAGGGCTCCCAAGAGGCCCTCAAGAGGGTCCCACGAACGCCCGAAGGGGCCCCAAGGGGCCCCAGGAGGCCTCCAAGAGGCACCCGAGAGGCATCCAAGAGGCCCCCGAGCGGCCTCCGAGAGCCCAAGATGACCTCCACGATGGCTCAAGATAGTCCAAGACGGCTCAAGTTGATCCCGAGATACCCCAAGAGGCCCCAAAACCGCTCCAAGACGACTCAAGATGGCCACGGAGCCTCCCCAGAAGGCCGCCACGAGCCCAACAGGTTTCAAACACCTAAAGAAAATCACTGAAGTTGGCCTTTTCACCTTTTTGCTTTCGATGGCCTTCCGAGGCCTCAAGACGGCTCCAAGATGGCCCCACGAAAGGCCCGAGAGAGCACCACGACGGCCCCAAGAGCGCCCAAGAGCGCTCTAAGAGCGCTCCAAGATGGGCCCAAGAGGCGATCTTGGGGGCCCCCGAGGGGGCAAAGCAATCCCACCAGCCCTTTGGGCGACGGGTGGTCTAGGTGTGATCTCTTTGTTCTTCCACTCTCCCTCCCCCTCCCCTCCCTGAGGATTCTGGGGAGGGGGACCGATGTGTCAGAGGGTCATTGGTCGGCCAGTGGGAGGGCCAACTTCTGACACCCCTCAAGAGTCAAGAGGATCGTGGCCCCCGAGGGGGGGGCAGACATCGAGGACCCACCCTTTTTTTACCGATCGCGTTCAAGATGGCACCAAGAGGTCCCCAAGAGAGCTCCAAGAGCGCCCCAAGAAGCCCCAGGAGGCCTCCAAGAGGCACCCGAGAGGCATCCAAGAGGCACCCGAGCGGCCTCAGAGAGCCCAAGATGACCTCCAAGATGGTTCAAGGTAGCCCAAGCACAATGCAGAACGGAGGCAGACGGCAGCGAAGAAACGGCGAGGACGGAACGAAAGAGCGGAAAAAAGGAGAAGACGGGACAAAAGAAAGGAAGCAAACCGCAGCTCAAGCTCAGGCCAAGTAGTAGACGACCGCCCTTTGGGTGGTGGGGATACTTTTTTTTTTGATCTGCGGCCCGCAAGGAAAAGTCCAGAGGGCGTGGTAATCGAGCAAACTGGGGCACAGTGCAAGATAATCAAAGCTGCCAGGGGCAAGACCAGCCCAACGGCTGAAGACCGCGCCAAGCAGACAGCAAGTGCACATGCAAAAGGTGAATGACGCTCGAGGAGTCGCCCTGACGGCGCCAGCTCGCAAGCAAAACTGCCAGGCCACTCGGCAAGCCCAGCCCAACGGCTGGAGACTGCGCTGGACCGACCGGCAAGCAAATGCACATGCAAAGAGCGGGGGACAGCGAGAGCCAACGAGGAGCCGCCCTGACGGCGCCAGCTCGCGAGCAGACAGCCACAAGCGGCCAACCGCAGCACGCGCAGGGCCTGTACCCGTGCACCCGCTGGGGCAACAGCAGCAGGAGCGGCGAGGGAGGACGAAGCGAGCGCACAGACCGGTAGAGGCAGGAGAGCCGGGGGGAGGAAGAAAAAAAGGAGGCGGACTCACTCACGGAACAACATGTGCTCACCGGCTACCCGTCACAGGACCTCTCCACGGCAGGTCGACGTCACCTTCCAAGTGTCGGCTAGGTCGGCGCCCGGGGGGAACGTCACGAGGAAGAGGCCTGCCGATCAGCACCTCATGTGCAGGAAGCCGGACTGCGGAGGTGGTGGGGGTACTTTTTGATTTGCGGCCCGCAAGGAAAAGTCCAGAGGGCGGAATGAGGTGGTGGGGATACTTTTTGTTTACAGCCGCGGGCGGAAGCGCCAGCGGCGGCGAGTAACGGTCGGGCTGCGGCCGGAACTATTTGGCCGGACGCGCGCAACGGAGGCGGTGGGGGTACTTTTTTTACAGCCGCGGGCGGAAGCGCCAGCGGCGGCGAGTAACGGTCGGGCTGCGGCCGATACTAATTGGCCGAACGCGCGCGCGGGCCGCGGCCGGCGCCGGGGCGGCGGGCGCAAGGGGGCTGCAACCCAGGGTGTCTGACGCCCAGGACCAGCACCCAGGGAGTCTGCAACTACGCTGCCAAAATGGCGCGATGCAAATAATCCCAAAAGTCTGAGTACCATGGCCCAGCCGAAGTATGGAGCCTGCCAACCTCGGCGCAGCGAATGGTGTACCGTAGGGTCCCAGGGTGTCTGAACCATGCTCAAGCGGAAGCGTCCGAGAGACACGCAAGCTGTCGCCTGACTTCAAACCGTGGGAAATTGGACTCTGACAGCGCCAGCGAATCGTCGCGGCTTCAGAGTACGCACCAACGCAGCCCAAAGGCGCGAAATCCGTGGTGTCTGTCCAAACTAGGCACGTCAGGACCGAAGACAGCATCGAACAGAGGTGCGACCGAAAGCGAGCCACCAGGTAGCATATGCATCGCTGCGGAAAGTACAGCTGTCCCGAACTTCTACCAGGCGCAAGCCGCAAGCGACTAGCGACCCAAAGTAAGAGCAGGAACGCCTACCAGGGAGCATCTATCGTGACAAGCATGCACAGAGCTACGCCTATCCATGGTACCCTGGCGTACCGGAGTGAAGTGTAGCAGATGGCGCCCTGGGAAAGCAGCCGGTTACCAGCTGCAGCCGAAGCAACTGCCAGTGGTCACGAAGAAGCCCAGGGAGCAAGGGGCCGCTCATCCAGTTGGAGCGGGGGAGCGACGATGGGATGATGCCATTCCTGGCACCAGGAACTGGCGGCCGACAAAGAAGTAGGCGTACGCACTAGGCACAGGTATAGGCTCAGTCCGCGACCACCCGCGGCACCACTGTGGCCGGTGCAGGTGGGGGCGCAACTGCGTCCCTGCGTCCGGGCGCGGCAACAACGTCCTTACGGGTGGGCACACCGCGCCACTGTGCCGGAGGCGTACCTCCACGGCTCAGTAGTGCAACGTCTGGTCATGCGTTCGAAGACCCGCTGTCGAGACGCCACCCGCCCAAGGTCGCTCCCAGGGAGTAGCAGAGAAGAGCAGCTGAAGGCCGCAGTACGTTTAGGAAACCCAGGGAGTGAGAGTGCGGTCCTGGACAGTGACGAGGCGCAGCCATCTTTGCGTCGGTCACAGAGCCGCGAGGCCGGGGGACGAAGTCCGACAGGGCCAGAGGTGAAAACAACTACAGCGGGGCCCGGGGCCAACTATGGCCTGCACGCAACACGCCCCAGCGTAGTCATGCAGACGGTATTGCTGGTAAACACACTTGGGTCCAAAGGCAGGAAGTGCGCGTACCAGGGAGGGCGGCGGAAGGCCGCCACACGAGTATTTGAAACGTAACCCAGGGAGGCAGCTGAAGGCTGCACGGAGTGTGGAAATCGGACGCTGCACCTGAATCTCTTGGGGATGGGGGGGCTCAGTCGCCCCGCCGTTGTCTCTTCTCGCCACGGTCGTCTGGCCTGCCGCCACCACGCTTGCCTCCTGACTGCCACTGGTCGTTGTGCCAGCCGGAGGTCCAGCCACTCTGCCAGTTGTCCCAGGCGTCTCAGGAGCTTCCGGCCCGGTCATACCAGCTGCTCTGCTGGTGGCTGCCCTTGCCCGTGCCGTCGGTCCTGGTGTGGCGCATGTGTTCGGACCGTACCGTTGCCCAGTCGATGCGGAAGTTATATTTCCTGTCCATCGCGTAGGCATCGTATCCACAGCGCTTCCAGTCATCCAGGAACTTGTTGATGTTCTCGTCCGAGTGCAGCTTCGGGTCTGACTTGGGATCCTTGCACCCAGGGATCCGGATGCCTTTTGTGTAGGCCGACCAAAGGGCGCAGAATACTCCACCCAAGTCCATTTGGTGTCTGGTGATGCGCTTGGCGGGGGTTTCACCGCGGCGCTCCAAGTCCACAGAGCCCAACCAGGCCTTGTACATGGGGCCTCCATGGGCGTCGGTCAGCTGGTTGAGAGCGTGTCGTCCCGCTGCGCCAGAGTAGGCAAGCCTGCGGTCTGGTGCCTGTGGGTTGCGTAGTGGGGGGCGGCGGTCCTGCGCTGTGCCTCTCTCTCGCGCGGCTTCATCTTGACCAGGCCCGCTGGAACCACTAGCGCTCTGCTCGGTGTTCCTTGTCGGACCCCAGGCGGCCAAGGGGTCGTCGTCGGAGCTGGGTTCCGTGCGCTCTGCCGTTGGGCTTTGCTGTGGCGGCCTGGCGCCAGGGTCGTCATCTTCAGCGGGGCCCGCGGCCGGGTCCTCGCAGTCGTCAGGGGGAGGAGGGTCGTGGGGGCTTCCAAAGTCGGCCGAATCCGCTCGCTCAGTAGCAGGAACCTCGTCTTCGTCGTCCTCCTCTTTGGCAGCTAGGCCAGGCCTCTTCGCGTCTCCAGCGCCCATTTCGGCGCCCTTCGTACCCAGGGAGTTGTCTGCACCAACCGCTGTTGAGGTCCCTTCCACGGGTCTTGCTGGAGCTTCGAGCTTGGGGTCCAGCCACTGTGCCGGAGGGCGCCCTGCCACGTTGCCGGGCATGTCCTCGCTCATGGCCTGCACGTGCGACCCCGCCAGGGATGTGATGGTTGTCGAGGCCAGGGCGTCGGCACTGAGGCTGAGCAGGAAGCTCGTCAGCGTGCTCATCTCGTGTCTGACTGGGTTGAGGCCACTCTCCGGGGCGAGGGACGAGACGTGCCGCTCCCAGGCCTCTTGGTGTTTCTCGCCGTTGGTGAGGTGGGAGACGACTCGTGCGGCGGCCAGCCGCTTGCCTGCCCAGGGCTGGTTGAGCGGGGCGCAATCCTTCGGGATGTTGTCGCCATACGCCGCCCTGAGAAACCTAGTCAGCCGACTGCCTGGCCAAGAGGCCTCTTCGTTTTTAGGCTCTGGGATGCTATCATCGCAATGGCCAA